CCCAATTCCCCCCTTCCCCCCCATTTTCCCCCTCCCCCCCAATTTTTTCCCCAAATCCCCCCTTATTTTTACCCAAAACTCTTTATTTTCACCCAAAACTCCTTATTTTTTACCCAAAACCCCTTATTTTCACCCAAAATTCCTTATTTTTCACCCAAAACCCCTTATTTTCACCCAAAACTCCTTATTTTCCCCCAAATCCCCCTTTTCTCCCCCTCCCCCCAATTTTTTCCCCAAATCCCCCCTTATTTTTACCCAAAACTCTTTATTTTCACCCAAAACTCCTTATTTTTTACCCAAAACCCCTTATTTTTCACCCAAAACTCCTTATTTTTCACCCAAAACTCCTTATTTTCCCCCTCCCCCCCATTTCCCCCCTTCCCCTCAATTTTCCCCAAATCCCCCCTTATTTTTCCCCAAATCCCCCCTTATTTTTCCCCAAAACCCCCATTTCTCCCCCCAAAACCTCTTTCTCTCACTGCCCCCTAGCGGCCCGGAGGCCATCTACCGCCTGTACGAGCAGGTCAGCTACAACTGCTTCCTGGCCGCGGGGCTCTACGCCCTGCTCGGGGCCTTCTCCCTCCTCCAGAACCGCCTCCATAAGCGCAAGGAATACATGGTCCGTTAACCCCACCCCCAAAACCGTCCTTTTTCACCCCAAAACCGCTTTGGTGGCGGTCCCAAAACCTTTGTTTTTCACCCCAAAAACCTCGGAGGACCGTTTTTCTCCGCCGTGGAGCCTCGTATCGCTTTGGGACCGGTGGGGTGTAATAAAGCGTGTTTTTCTCTATGGAACTTTGCGGTTGGTGATGGGGTTTTGGGGTGAAATCGGGGGGTTTTGGGGGCGCTTGGAGGACTGAAGGGGGGGGGGGGAGCAACGAGACGAAGGGGCGGAGCGGCGCCGCCGCCGCCGCGCCGGAAGTGAGCGGTGGGAGGCGGGGCTTAGGCCGCCATTGAGGTGAACGGGGAGGGAACCATAGAGACGCGCCGAGGGGGCCAGAGCGGCGCCATCGAGGAGGCCGAGAGGAAGCGGCGGCGGGCGCCGGAAGGGCCCGGGCGCGCCGTGATGACGTCAGCGTCCACCAAGGTGAGGGCGCCTTGGTTTTGGGGGGAATTCGGGAGGTTTTGGGGGTGGAGGGGGGGGAACTTCCGGTGGGGGAGGGGTTGGGGGGGGTGTAATGGGGTTGCGGGTGCGAACTGGGATGCTATTGGTCCGTTCGAGTCCATACTGGGATGCTATTGGTCCATTGGTGTCCGTCCTGGGATGCTATTGGTCCATTGGGGTCCGTACTGGGATGCTATTGGTCCGTTGGGGTCCATACTGGGATGCTATTGGTCCATTGGGGTGCGTACTGGGATGCTATTGGTCCGTTGGGGTCCGTCCTGGGATGCTATTGGTCCATTGGGGTGCATACTGGGATGCTATTGGTCCGTTCGGGTCCATACTGGGATGCTATCGGTCCGTTGGGGTGCGTACTGGGATGCTATTGGTCTGTTGGGGTCCATGCTGGGATGCTATTGGTCCGTTCGGGTGCGTACTGAGATGCTATTGGTCCGTTGGGGTTCATACTGGGATGCTATTGGTTCATTGGGGTCCATACTGGGATGCTATTGGTCCATTGGGGTCCGTACTGGGATGCTATTGGTCCATACTGGGATGCTATTGGTCCATTGGTGTCCATACTGGGATGTTATTGGTCCATTGGGGTCCATACTGGGATGCTATTGGTCCATTGGGGTCCATACTGGGATGCTATTGGTCCATTGGGGTCCATACTGGGATGCTATTGGTCCGTTGGGGTCCGTACTGGGATGCTATTGGTCCGTTGGGGTGCGTACTGGGATGCTATTGGTCCGTTCGGGTCCATACTGGGATGCTATTGGTCCATTGGGGTCCATACTGGGATGCTATTGGTCTGTTGGGGTCCGTACTGGGATGCTATTGGTCCGTTGGGGTCCATACTGGGATGCTATTGGTCCATTGGGGTCCATACTGGGATGCTATTGGTCCATTGGGGTCCATACTGGGATGCTATTGGTCCATTGGGGTCCGTACTGGGATGCTATTGGTCCGTACTGGGATGCTATTGGTCCATTGGGGTCCATACTGGGATGCTATTGGTCCATTGGGGTCCATACTGGGATGCTATTGGTCCGTTGGGGTCCATACTGGGATGCTATTGGTCCGTTGGGGTCCATACTGGGATGCTATTGGTCCGTTGGGGTGCGTACTGGGATGCTATTGGTCCGTTGGGGTCCATACTGGGATGTTATTGGTCCGTTCGGGTCCATACTGGGATGCTATTGGTCCATTGGGGTGCGTACTGGGATGCTATTGGTCCGTTCGAGTCCATACTGGGATGCTATTGGTCCATTGGGGTCCATACTGGGATGCTATTGGTCCATTGGGGTCCATACTGGGATGCTATTGGTCCATACTGGGATGCTATTGGTCCATTGGGGTCCATACTGGGATGCTATTGGTCCATTGGGGTCCATACTGGGATGCTATTGGTCCATTGGGGTGCATACTGGGATGCTATTGGTCCATTGGGGTGCATACTGGGATGCTATTGGTCCATACTGGGATGTTATTGGTCCATTGGGGTCCATACTGGGATGCTATTGGTCCGTTGGGGTCCATACTGGGATGCTATTGGTCCATACTGGGATGCTATTGGTCCATTGGGGTCCATACTGGGATGCTATTGGTCCATACTGGTCTGTACTGGGATGTTACCGCTCCATACTGCTCCATACCCGTCTGTACTGGTCCATACTGGTCTGTACCGCTCTATACTGGTCTATACTGGTTTATACTGGTTTATACCGGTCCATACTGGTCCATACTGGTCTATACTGGTTTATACTGGTCCATACTGGTTTATACTGGTTTATACTGGTCCATACTGGTTTATACTGGTCCGTACTGGTTTATACCGGTCTGTACCGGTTTATACCGCTCCATACTGGTTTATACTGGTCCGTACTGGTTTATACTGGTTTATACCGGTCCATACTGATCTATACTGGTTTATACTGGTTTATACTGGTTTATACCGGTCCATACTGGTCCATACTGGTCTATACTGGTTTATACTGGTTTATACCGGTCCATACTGATCTATACTGGTTTATACCGGTCCATACCGGTCCATACTGGTCTATACTGGTCCATACTGGTCTATACTGGTCCATACTGGTCCATACTGGTTTATACTGGTTTATACTGGTCCATACTGGTCTATACTGGTCCATACTGGTCTATACTGGTCCATACTGGTCCATACTGGTCCATACTGGTCCATACTGGTCTATACTGGTCCATACTGGTTTATACTGCTCCATACTGGTCCATACTGGTCCATACTGGTCTATACTGGTCCATACCGGTCCATACTGGTCCATACTGGTCTATACTGGTCCATACTGGTTTATACTGCTCCATACCGGTCCATACTGGTCCATACTGGTCTATACTGGTCCATACTGGTCTATACTGGTCCATACTGGTCCATACTGGTCCATACTGGTCTATACTGGTCTATACTGGTCCATACTGCTCCATACTGGTCCATACTGGTCTATACTGGTTTATACTGGTCCATACTGGTTTATACTGGTCCATACTGGTCCATACTGGTTTATACTGGTCCATACTGGTCCATACTGGTTTATACTGGTCCATACTGGTCCATACTGGTCTATACTGGTCCATACTGGTCTATACTGGTCCATACTGGTCTATACTGGTCTATACTGCTCCATACTGGTCCATACTGGTCTGTACTGGTTTATACTGGTCCAGGTCGGGGAGATCTTCTCGGCCGCCGGCGCCGCCTTCTCCCGCCTGGGGGAGCTGACGATGACCCTGCAGCCGCGGGCAGAGACACGGGAGGGGTGAGAGCAGGGGGGGCTATGGGGCGCTATGGGGCGCTATGGGGCGCTATGGGGCTATGGGGCGCTATGGGGCTATGGGGCTATGGGGCGCTATGGGGCTATGGTGGGCTATGGGGCGCTATGGGGCTATGCGGGCTATGGGGCGCTATGGGGCGCTATGGGGCTATGGGGCGCTATGGGGTGCTATGGGGGGCTATGGGGCTATGGGGCTATGGGGCTATGGGGCACTATGGGGCTGTGGGGCGCTATGGGGCTGTGGGGGCTATGGGGCACTATGGGGCTATGGGGGCTATGGGGCGCTATGGGGCTATGGTGGGCTATGGGGCTGTGGGGCTTGGTGGGCTATGGGGCGCTATGTGGGGCATCTGGGGGTATGGGGCTATGGGGGCTATCGGGCTGTGGGGGACTATGGGGGCTATGGGGGCCTGTGGGGCTATGGGGGGATGGGGCGCTATGGGGGTGCTATGGGGCTATGGGGGTGGGGCGCTATGGGGCACTATGAGGCTATGGGGTCTATGGGGGCTATGGGGTCTATGAGGCTACGGGGAGCTATGGGGCTTTGGGGGGCTATGGGGAGATGTGGGGCACTCTGGGTGTCTATGGGGGCTATAGGGCTGTGGGGGCTATGGGGGTCTAGGGGGGCTATGGGGATCTATGGGGCTGTGGGGGAATATGGGGCTATGGGGGGCTATGGGGCTATGGGGGGATCTGGGGGGCTATGGGGGATATGGGGCTGTGGGGCGCTATGGGGCTGTGGGGGCTATGGGGCGCTATGGGGCTGTGCGGGCTATGGGGCTATGGGGGGGTATGGGGCTATGGGGCTATGGGGGGTATGGGGCTATGGGGCGCTATGGGGCTATGGGGGTATAGGGGGGTATGGGGCTATGGGGGTCTATGGGGCTGTGGGGGACTATGGGGGCTATGGGGGGCTATGGGGCTATGGGGGGATCTGGGGGGCTATGGGGGATATGGGGCTATGGGGAGCTGTGGGGCACTATGAGGCTATGGGGGGCTGTGGGGTCTATGGGGGCTATGGGGTCTATGAGGCTACAGGGAGCTATGGGGCTTTGGGGGGCTATGGGGAGATGTGGGGCACTCTGGGTGTCTATGGGGGCTATAGGGCTGTGGGGGCTATGGGGGTCTAGGGGGGCTATGGGGGACTATGGGTCTGTGGGGGACTATGGGGGCTATGGGGGGCTATGGGGCTATGGGGGGGATCTGGGGGGCTATGGGAGCTGTGGGGGCTATGGGGGCTATGGGGCTATGGGGGGCTATGGGGCTTTGGGGGGGCTATGGATGTCTATGGGGGTCTATGGGGCTATGCGGGGCTATGAGGGCTATGGGGGTCTATGGGGCTATGGGGGGATCTGGGGGGCTATGGGGGTCTATGGGGGCTATGGGGCTATGAGGCTATGGGGGGCTATGGGAGTCTATGGGGGGTATGGGGCTATGGGTGTCTATGGGGGCTATGGGGGATATGGGGCTATGGGGTCTATGGGGTGTCTATGGGGCCTATGGGGGTCTATGGGGGTGTACGGGTGTCTGTGGGGGTTCGTGGCGTGTCTATGTGGGGCTATGGGCTCCTATGGGGTGGTTTGGGCTCCCTATGGGGTGTTTGGTCTCAACTTGGCCCCTTTTGACCTCAATTCACCCCATTTTGGGCTCAATTGTCCCTATTTTGGGTGAATTCGCCCCATTTTGGGCTCAATTGTCCCTATTTTGGGTGAATTCGCCCCATTTTGGGCTCAATTGTCCCTATTTTGGGTGAATTCACCCCATTTTCGGCTCAATTGTCCCTATTTTGGGTGAATTCACCCCATTTTCGGCTCAGTTTTCCTCATTTTGGCCTCAATTTTCCCTATTTTGCGTCATTTCACCCCATTTTGAGCTCAATTTACCTCTTTTGGTTCAATTCACCCCATTTTGGGTTCAATTCACCCCATTTTTGGCTCAGTTTTCCCTATTTTTGGTGAATTCACCCCATTTTGGCCTCAATTTCCCCCATTTTGGCCTCAATTCACCCCATTTTGGCCTCAATTTGCCCCATTTGGCGCTCAGTTTACCCCATTTTTGGATCAATTTTCCCTATTTTCGGTGAAATCACCCCATTTTCGGCTCAATTTTCCCTATTTTCAGTAAATTTGCCCCATTTTGGCCTCAATTTTCCCCATTTGGGCCAGAATTCACCCCATTTGGCCTCAATTCACCCCATTTTGGGCTTGATTCTCCCCATATTCAGTTGAATTTCCCCATTTTGGCCTCAATTTTCCCCATTTTCCGTTAAATTTTCCCCATTTTGACCACAATTCGCCCCATTTGGGGCTCAATTTACCCCATTTTCGGCTCAATTTTCCCCATTTTCTGTTGAATTTTCCCCATTTTGACCACAATTCGCCCCATTTTCAGCTCAATTTACCCCATTTTCCCCTCAATTTTCCCCATTTTCAGTGAATTCACCCCATTTTGGCCTCAATTTTCCCCATTTTGGCCAGAATTCACCCCATTTGGCCTCAATTCACCCCATTTTGGGCTTGATTCTCCCCATATTCTGTTGAATTTCCCCATTTTGGCCTCAATTTTCCCCATTTTCCATTGAATTTTCCCCATTTTGCCCACAATTCGCCCCATTTGGGGCTCAATTTACCCCATTTTCGGCTCAATTTTCCCCATTTTCAGTGAATTCACCCCATTTTGGCCTCAATTTTCCCCATTTTCCGTTGAATTTTCCCCATTTTGACCACAATTCGCCCCATTTGGGGCTCAATTTACCCCATTTTCGGCTCAATTTTCCCCATTTTCAGTGAATTCACCCCATTTTCGCCTCAATTTTCCCCATTTTCCGTTGAATTTTCCCCATTTTGACCACAATTCGCCCCATTTTCGGCTCAATTTACCCCATTTTCGGCTCAATTTTCCCCATTTTCAGTGAATTCACCCCATTTTGGCCTCAATTTTCCCCATTTTCCGTTGAATTTTCCCCATTTTGGCCACAATTCGCCCCATTTGGGGCTCAATTTACCCCATTTTCGGCTCAATTTTCCCCATTTTCCGTTGAATTTTCCCCATTTTGGCCACAATTCACCCCATTTGGGGCTCAATTTACCCCATTTTCGGCTCAATTTTCCCCATTTTCAGTGAATTCACCCCATTTTGGGCTCAATTTTCCCCATTTTCCATTGAATTTTCCCCATTTTGATCACAATTCGCCCCATTTGGGGCTCAATTTACCCCATTTTCGCCTCAATTTTCCCCATTTTCAGTGAATTCACCCCATTTTGGCCACAATTTTCCCCATTTTCCGTTGAATTTTCCCCATTTTGACCACAATTCGCCCCATTTGGGGCTCAATTTTCCCCCATTTTGGCCTCAATTTTCCCCATTTTCCGTTGAATTTTCCCTATTTTGACCACAATTCGCCCCATTTTGGCCTCAATTTACCCCATTTTCGGCTCAATTTTCCCTATTTTCGGTGAATTCACCCCATTTTCGCCTCAATTTTCCCCATTTTCCGTTGAATTTTCCCCATTTTGGCCACAATTCGCCCCATTTGGGGCTCAATTTACCCCATTTTCCGTTGAATTTTCCCCATTTTCAGTGAATTCACCCCATTTGGGCCTCAATTTTCCCCATTTTGCCTGAATTTTCCCCATTTTGGCCACAATTCGCCCCATTTGGGGCTCAATTTACCCCATTTTCGGCTCAATTTTCCCCATTTTCAGTGAATTCACCCCATTTTGGCCTCAATTTTCCCCATTTTCCGTTGAATTTTCCCCATTTTGACCACAATTCGCCCCATTTTGGGCTCAATTTCCCCCATTTTGGGCTCAATTTTCCCCATTTTCCGTTGAATTTTCCCCATTTTGACCACAATTCGCCCCATTTGGGGCTCAATTTACCCCATTTTCGGCTCAATTTTCCCCATTTTCCCTTGAATTTTCCCCATTTTGACCACAATTTTCCCCATTTTGGCCAGAATTCACCCCATTTGGCCTCAATTCACCCCATTTTGGGCTTAATTCTCTCCATATTCAGTTGAATTTCCCCATTTTGGGCTCAATTTCCCCCATTTTGGCCTCAATTTTCCCCATTTTCCGTTGAATTTTCCCCATTTTGGCCACAATTCGCCCCATTTGGGGCTCAATTTACCCCATTTTCGGCTCAATTTTCCCCATTTTCAGTGAATTCACCCCATTTTGGCCTCAATTTTCCCCATTTTCCTTTGAATTTTCCCCATTTTGGCCACAATTCGCCCCATTTTGTGCTCAATTTACCCCATTTTCGCCTCAATTTTCCCCATTTTCCGTTGAATTTTCCCCATTTTGACCACAATTCGCCCCATTTTCGGCTCAATTTACCCCATTTTCGGCTCAATTTTCCCCATTTTCAGTGAATTCACCCCATTTTCGCCTCAATTTTCCCCATTTTCCGTTGAATTTTCCCCATTTTGGCCACAATTCGCCCCATTTTCGGCTCAATTTACCCCATTTTCGCCTCAATTTTCCCCATTTTCAGTGAATTCACCCCATTTTGGGCTCAATTTTCCCCATTTTCCGTTGAATTTTCCCCATTTTGGCCACAATTCGCCCCATTTGGGGCTCAATTTACCCCATTTTCGGCTCAATTTTCCCCATTTTCAGTGAATTCACCCCATTTTGGCCTCAATTTTCCCCATTTTGGCCAGAATTCACCCCATTTGGCCTCAATTCACCCCATTTTGGGCTTAATTCTCTCCATATTCAGTTGAATTTCCCCATTTTGGGCTCAATTTCCCCCATTTTGGCCTCAATTTTCCCCATTTTCCGTTGAATTTTCCCTATTTTGACCACAATTCGCCCCATTTGGGGCTCAATTTACCCCATTTTCGGCTCAATTTACCCCATTTTCGCCTCAATTTTCCCCATTTTCAGTGAATTCACCCCATTTTGGCCTCAATTTTCCCCATTTTCCGTTGAATTTTCCCCATTTTGGCCGTAATTCGTCCCCTTTTGGGCTCAATTTTCCCCATTTTCGGTGAATTCACCCCATTTTCGCCTCAATTTTCCCCATTTTCCGTTGAATTTTCCCCATTTTGACCACAATTCACCCCATTTTCGGCTCAATTTTCCCCATTTTCCGTTGAATTTTCCCCATTTTCAGTGAATTCACCCCATTTTGGGCCTCAATTTTCCCCATTTTGCCTGATTTCACCCCATTTTGGCCTCAATTCACCCCATTTTGGCCTTGATTTGCCTCTAACGCTAACCATAACCATAACCATAACCATAACCCTTTCCCCCTCCCTTCCTCCCCTTTCCCTCCCCCTCCCCCCTTTCCCCCCCGGATTTTTCCCCTCCCCTCCCCCCTCCCCCCACCCCTCCCCCACCCTTTAACCCCCCCAAAACACCCAAAATCCCCTAAATTCACCCCAAAAAAGAGCCAAATGGACGGAGCCTGAGCTGGAGCTGCTCCGCGGGGCCGTCAAGCGCTTTGGCGAGGACCTGAACCACCTCAGCGCCCTCATCAAGGAGCGCACCGTGTAAGGGACGGGCAGCCCCAAAATCCGCCTTTTTCAACCCATTTTTGGGGGGGGCGGGGGTGGGGTATGGGGGGCACCCCGAAAAAAGCACCAGAATCGACCGAAAAGCACCAAAATCGCCCAAAAAGCACCAAAATCGCCTTATTTCTCCCCATTCTAGAGGGGGAGAAGGTTTCCCCCCAAATCGCCCTTTTTCACCCCATTTTGGGGGGTCAGTTTTTGGGGTCACCCCCCTCCAAAAAACCTTCAAAAAGCCCCAAAATTGCCCTTTTTCACCCCATTTTGGGGGGCTGGTTTTGGGGGTTTCCCCCCCAAAATGACCCCAAAACCGCCCCAAAATCACCCAAAAAGCCCCAAAATGACCCAAAATCGTCGTTTTTCACCCCATTTTGGGTGTGGTGCTTGTTTTTGGGGTACCCTCAAAAAAGTTCCAAAATCACCTTTTTTCACCCCATTTTATTGGGCGCTGGTTGGGTTTTGGGGTCCCCCATCAAAAATGACCCAAAATCGCTCTTTTTCACCCCATTTTGGAGGGGTGGTGTGATTTTTTTCTGTGTCCCCCCAATAAAAGCCCCAAAGTCGCCCTTTTTCACCCCATTTTAGGGGGGGGGAGGGGGGGTGTTTGGGGGGCACCCCGAAAAAAGCACCAGAATCGACCGAAAAGCACCAAAATCGCCCAAAAAGCACCAAAATCGCCTTATTTCTCCCCATTCTAGAGGGGGAGTAGGTTCCCCCCCCAAATAAGCCCCCAAAAGCTCCAAAATCGCCTTTTTTCACCCCATTTTAGGGGGCGCTGGTTGGGTTTTGGGGTCCCCCATCAAAAATGACCCAAAGTCGCCCTTTTTCACCTCATTTTAGGGGGTGGTGGTTGGGTTTTGGGGTCCCCCATCAAAAATGACCCAAAATCGCCTTTTTTCACCCCATTTTGGAGGGGGGTGTTATTTTTTTTCTGTGTCCCCCCAATAAAAGCCCCAAAATCGCCCTTTTTCACCCCATTTTTGGGGGGGGCGGGGGTGGGGTATGGGGGGCACCCCGAAAAAAGCACCAGAATCGACCGAAAAGCACCAAAATCGCCCAAAACGCACCAAAATCGCCTTATTTCTCCCCATTCTAGAGGGGGAGTAGGTTTTCCCCCAAATAAGCCCCAAAATCGCCGTTTTTCACCCCATTTTGGGGGGCTGGTTTTGGGGGTTTCCCCCCTAAAATGACCCCAAAACCGCCCCTTAATGGCCCCAAAATCACCCAAAAAGCCCCAAAATGACCCAAAATCGTCATTTTTCACCCGATTTGGGGTGTGGTGGTGGTTTTTGGGGTACCCTCAAAAAAGTTCCAAAATCGCCTTTTTTCACCTCATTTTAGGGGGCGGTGGTTGGGTTTTGGGGTCCCCCATCAAAAATGACCCAAAATCGCCTTTTTTCACCCCATTTTTGGGGGTCAGTTTTTGGGGTTTCTCCCCCCAAAATGACCCCAAAATCGCTCCAAATGACCCAAAATCGCCTCAAATGCCCCAAAATCGCCCTTTTTCACCCCTTTTTGTGGGGCTGTTTTTTGGAGTTTCTCCCCCTGAAATCACCCCCAAAGCCCCAAAGTGCCCCCAAATCACCCCAAAATGCCCCAAAATCGCCCCAAATGGCCCCAAAATTGCCCTAAATACCCCAAAATCACCCAAAATGACCCAAAATTGCTCTTTTCCCCCTGTTTTGGGCGGTCAGTTTTCGGGGTTTCTCCCCCCAAAATAACCCCCAAATCACCCCAAAAAGCCCCCAAATCACCCCCAAAGCCCCAAACCACCCCATAAGCCCCAAAGTGTCCCCAAAATGCCCCAAAATCGCCCTTTTTTCACCCCATTTTGGGGAATTATGGTAACCCCAAAAATGACCCCAAAATCACTTCAAATGACCCAAAATTGCCCAAAATGACCCCAAATCACCCAAAATGACCCAAAATTCCTCTTTTCCCACCCATTTTTTGGAGGTTACTTTTCAGGGTTTCTCCCCCCCAAATGACCCCCAAATCTCCCCAAATGCCCCCAAAATCACCCAAAATGACCCAAAATTGCTCTTTTCCCACCCATTTTGTGGGGCTGGTTTTTGGGGTTTCTCCCCCCAAAATAACCCCCAAATCACCCCAAAATAACTCCAAAATCGCCCCGAAATGCCCCAAAATCGCCCATAATGACCCCAAATCACCCAAAATGACCCAAAATTGCTCTTTTCCCCCTGTTTTAGGAGGTCACTTTTCAGGGTTTCTCCCCACAAAATAACCCCCAAATCGCCCCAAAATAACCCCAAAATCGCCCTGAAATGCCCCTAAATCGCCCTAAATAACTCAAAATCACCCAAAATGACCCAAAATTTCTCTTTTCCCACCCATTTTGTGGGGCTGGTTTTTGGGGTTTCTCCCCCCAAAATCACCCCAGAATCACCCCAAAATAACCCCAAAATCGCCCCTTAATGACCCCAAAATCTCCCTAAATACCCAAAATTGCTCTTTTCCTCCCATTTTGGGCGGTCAGTTTTGGGGGTTTCTCCCCCCAAAATAACCCCCAAATCACCCCAAAATGACCCAAAATTGCTCTTTCCCCCCCCCATTTTATGGGGCTGGTTTTGAGGGTTTCTTCCTCAAAACAACCCCCAAATCACCCCAAAAAGCCCCCAAATCCCCCCCAAAGCCCCAAACCACCCCATAAACCCCAAAGCGACCCCAAAATGCCCCAAAATCGCCCTTTTTCCCCCATTTTGGGGGGTCAGTTTTCGTGGTTTCTCCCCCCAAAATCACCCCAAAATCACCCCGAAATGCCCCAAAATCGCCCTAAACACCCCCAAATCACCCCAAAACGACCCAAAATCACCCCCAAAGCCCCAAACTGACCCCAAATCACCCCAAAATGCCCCCAAATCACCCAAAATGACCCAAAATTGCTCTTTTCCCCCTGTTTTAGGAGGTCACTTTTCAGGGTTTCTCCCCCCAAAATCGCCCCCAAATGACCCAAAATCACCCCCAAAGCCCCAAACCACCCCATAAACCCCAAAATGTCCCCAAAATGCCCCAAAATCGCCCTTTTCCCCCCCATTTTTGGGAGGTCACTTTTCGGGGTTTCTCCCCCCCAAATGCCCCAAAATCACCCCAAAATTGCTCTTTTTCCCCTGTTTTGGGAGGTCACTTTTCGGGGTTTCTCCCCCCAAAATAACCCCCAAATCACCCCAAAATGACCCCAAATCACCCCCAAAGCCCCAAACCACCCCGAAAACCCCAAATGACCCCAAAATCGCCCCCAAATGCCCCAAAATCGCCCTAAATACCCCAAAATCACCCAAAATGACCCAAAATTCCTCTTTTCCCACCCATTTTTGGGAGGTCACTTTTCAGGGTTTCTCCCCCCAAAATAACCCCCAAATCACCCCAAAAAGCCCCCAAATCCCCCCCAAAGCCCCAAACCACCCCATAAACCCCAAAATGTCCCCAAAATACCCCAAAATCACCCTTTTTTCCCCCATTTTCCCCCCATCAGGGCGCAGCTCAAGGCCACGGCCAAGCGCAAGGCCTACGAGGACAGCGGGGTCCCCATGGGGCCCGAGTCCCCCAAAAAGGGGCCCCGGCGAGCTGGGGGTGGGGGGGCGGCTTTGGGGGGACCCCCCCATAGCGGGGGCACCCCCCAAGAGACCCCCATGAAGAGGCACAAAGGAGGAGGTAAAGGGGGGGGGGGGGGGAAGCATTGGGGACCCCCCCATCCCCATTGGGTCCCTTTATCCCCCCCCATTGATTTTGGGGTCCCCCCCATTGTTTTGGGGTCCCCCCCATCCCCATTGAATCCCTTTACCCCCCCCATTGATTTTGGGGTCCCCCCCATCCCCATTGGGTCCCTTTACCCCCCCCATTGATTTTGGGGTCCCCCCATCCCCATTGGGTCCCTTTCCCCCCCCCATTGATTTTGGGGTCCCCCCCATCCCCATTGGGTCCCTTTATCCCCCCCCATTGATTTTGGGGTCCCCCCCATCCCCATTGGGTCCCTTTATCCCCCCCCATTGATTTTGGGGTCCCCCCCATCCCCATTGGGTCCCTTTACCCCCCCCATTGATTTTGGGGTCCCCCCCATCCCCATTGAATCCTTTTACCCCCCCCATTGATTTTGGGGTTCCCCCATCCCCACTGGGTCCCTTTCCCCACCCCATTGATTTTGGGGTCCCCCCATCCCCATTGGATCCCTTTATTCCCCCCCATTGATTTTGGGGTCCCCCCCATCCCCATTGGGTCCCTTTATCCCCCCCATTGATTTTGGGGTCCCCCCCATCCCCATTGGGCCCTTTTCCCCCCATTGATTTTGGGGTCCCCCCCATCCCCATTGGGTCCATTTCCCCCCCCATTGATTTTGGGGTCCCCCCATCCCCATTGGGTCCCTTTCCCCCCCCATTGATTTTGGGGTCCCCCCCATCCCCATTGGGTCCCTTTATCCCCCCCCCATTGATTTTGGGGTCCCCCCCATCCCCATTGGGTCCCTTTATCCCCCCCATTGATTTTGGGGTCCCCCCCATCCCCATTGGGTCCATTTCTCCCCCCCATTGATTTTGGGGTCCCCCCCATCCCCATTGGGTCCCTTCACCCCCCCATTTATTTTGGGGTCCCCCCCATCCCCATTGGGTCCCTTTACCCCCCCCATTGATTTTGGGGTCCCCCCCATCCCCATTGGGTCCCTTTATCCCCCCCATTGATTTTGGGGTCCCCCCCATCCCCATTGGGTCCCTTTATCCCCCCCCCATTGATTTTGGGGTCCCCCCATCCCCATTGGGTCCCTTTACCCCCCCATTGATTTTGGGGTCCCCCCATCCCCATTGGATCCCTTTCCCCCCCCCCCATTGATTTTGGGGTCCCCCCCATCCCCATTGAATCCCTTTACCCCCCCATTGATTTTGGGGTCCCCCCATCCCCATTGGGTCCCTTTCCCCCCCCCCCCCATTGATTTTGGGGTCCCCCCATCCCCATTGGGTCCCTTCACCCCCCCCATTGATTTTGGGGTCCCCCCATCCCCATTGGGTCCCTTTACCCCCCCATTGATTTTGGGGTCCCCCCCATCCCCATTGAATCCTTTTACCCCCCCCATTGATTTTGGGGTCCCCCCATCCCCATTGGGTCCTTTTCCCCCCCCCATTGATTTTGGGGTCCCCCCATCCCCATTGGGTCCCTTTTCCCCCCCCATTGATTTTGGGGTCCCCCCTCACTTTTGGGGTCCCCCCCCCAGACATCGACCCCGAGGCCTCTGGGGACATCGTGGACATTGAGGGGCTCCCGGAGCCCCCCCAAAGCAAGAAGCTCCACCTGGACCAAGGTTTGGGGGTCCCCAAAATGTGGGGGGGGTCCCCAAGAATGGGGGGGGTCCCCAATATTTGGGACCCCCCCAAAATGGGGTTTGGGGGGGGATGGGGGGGACCCCTTTGTCACTTCTTGCTCTCTTCCTGCAGCCTGAGCCGTCAGGACCATGGACAGCGACCGCCCCCCCATAGACCACAATGGACCCCATAGACCCCAATGGATCCCATAGACCCAAATGGACCCCAATGGACCCCCATGGACCCCAATAAACCCCAATGGACCCCATACACCCCAATGGACCCCAATGGAGCCCCATGGACCCCATAGACCCCAATGGAGCCCCATGGACCCCAATGGAGCCCCATAGACCCCAATGGATCCCCATGGACCCCAATGGATCCCCATGGACCCCAATAAACCCCAATGGACCCCAATGGACCCCAATAAGCCCCAAGAGAACCCAATGAACCCCAATGGACCCCATAGACCCCAATGGACCCCAATGGATCCCTATGGACCCCAATGGATCCCCATGAACCCCAATGGACCCCACAGACCCCAATAAACCCCAATAGAACCCAATGGACCCCAATGGATCCCTATGGGCCCCAATAAACCCCAATAGAACCCAATGGACCCCATAGACCCCAATGGATCCCCGTAGACCCCAATGGATCCCAATGGACCCCAGTGGATCCCCATGGACCCCAATAGAGCCCAATGGACCCCAATGGATCCCCAGTAAACCCCAATAGAGCCCAGTGGACCCCAATGGACCCCATAGACCCCATTAGAACCCAATGGACCCCAATGGATCCCCATGGACCCCAACGGATCCCAATGGACCCCATAGACCCCAATAGACCCCAATGGATCCCCATGGACCCCAATGGACCCCAATAGAACCCAATGGACCCCAATGGATCCCAATAGACCCCAATGGATCCCAATAAACCCCAATGGATCCCCATGGACCCCAATAAACCCCAATGGAACCCAATGGACCCCAATGGATCCCAATAAACCCCAATGGATCCCAATAAACCCCAATGGATCCCCATGGGCCCCAATAAACCCCAATAGAACCCAATGGACCCCATAGACCCCAATGGATCCCAATGGACCCCAATGGATCCCCATGGACCCCATAGACCCCAATGGACCCCATAGACCCCAATGGACCCCAATGGATTCCCATAGACCCCATAGACCCCAGTGGATCCCCATGGATCCCAATAGACCCCAATGGACATGGGTACCACAGACCCCCCCCCAGCCCTATTGGGGGCCCCCCCACATTACCCCCTATGCCCCCCCCCATTCCATTTGGGGTCCCCCAAATGCCCTTCTACGGACACCCCCCCCCATTTTGGGGTCCCCCCCTTCATGTGCCCCCCCAATAAAGGTTTTGGGGTCCCCCCCATGTCTCTGTGTCCTGCCCATGGATTTTGGGGGTGCCCCCCCCCCAACAACCCCCCTTTATCCCATGGGATATTGGGGGGGGGGTACCCCAAGAGCTGGCGCTGGTTTTGAACCTTTATTTGGGGGACAAAAGGGGGGGGGGACACAAAGGGACCCCAAATGTGGGGTGGGGGGGGTGTCACCATTGGGGGGCTGTCATTGGGCTCTCTATGGGGGTGCTGTTATTGGGGTCTCTATTGGGGTGCTGTCATTGGGGTCATCATTGGGGTGCTTTCATTAAGGCCAATATTGGGGTCTCTATGGGGTGCTGTTAGTGGGGTGCTGTATTGGGGTCGCTATAGGGGGAGCAGGTCTGGGGGTCCCTATGGGGAGTTGGGGGTCCCTATGGGGGGGGTGTCTATTGGGGTCTCTATAGGGGGTCTCTATGGGGTATCCCTATGGAGGCTCCCTATGGAGGGGTCTCTATGGGGGTCCCTATGTGGAGGTCCCTATAGGGGGGGTCTCTATGGTGGGTTCCCTATGGGGTATCCCTATAGGGGGGTCTCTATAAGGGTCCCTATAGGGGGTCTCTATGGGGGGGGCCCTATGGAGTATCCCTATGGGGGGGTCTCTATGGGGGTCCCTATGGGGTATCCCTATAGGGGGGGTCTCTATGGGGGGGTTCCCTATGGTGGGCTCCCTATGGGTGTCCCTATGGGGGTCTTTATGGGGTATCCCTATGGGGTATCCCTATTGGGGGGGGGTCGTCCCTATGGGGTATCCCTATAGGCGGGGGTCTCTATGGGGGGGTTCCCTATGGTGGGCTCCCTATGGGTGTCCCTATGGGGGTCTTTATGGGGTATCCCTATGGGGTATCCCTATTGGGGGGGGGGTCGTCCCTATGGGGTATCCCTATGGGGGTCTTTATGGGGTATCCCTATGGGGGTGTCGCTATGGGGTATCCCTATTGGGGGTCTTTATGGGGTATCCCTATTGGGGTCTTTATGGGGTATCCCTATTGGGGGTCTTTATGGGGTATCCCTATGGGGGTGTCGCTATGGGGTATCCCTATGGGGGTCTTTATGGGGTATCCCTATGGGGGTCTTTATGGGGTATCCCTATTGGGGGTCTTTATGGGGTATCCCTATGGGGGTCTTTATGGGGTATCCCTATTGGGGGTCTTTATGGGGTATCCCTATGGGGGGCTCGCTATGGGGTATCCCTATGGGGGGCTCGCTATGGGTCGCTATGGGGCTCATCAGAGCTGCTGGCAGGGCTCCATGCGGCTGTAGTGCTCGAAGTGGCTCTGCCAGCGCCCCATATACGAGCTCCAGCGGTGGAACTCCTGCCTCCACTGGCGCTCGGCCTCCTCCATGGGGCCTGCGTCAGACCCATAGAACCCCTTGAGCCCACTCCCCATATCCCATAATACCCCATAGCCCAGAATAACCCATAGCCCATAATACCCCATATCCCGTAATACCCCATATCACCCCATAGCCCCGAATATCCCATATCCCATAATACCCCATAGCCCATAATACCCCATATCCCATAATGCCCCATATCCCATAATACCCCATATCACCCCATAGCCCATAATATCCCATATCCCATAATACCCTATAGCCCCTAATACCCCATATCCCATAATATCCCATATCCCCCCATATCCCATATCACCCCATAGCCCATAATATCCCATATCCCATAATATCCCATAATATCCCATAATATCCCATAATACCCCATATCCCATAATACCCCATATCACCCCATATCCCATAATACCCTATAGCCCCTAATACCCCACACCCCATAATATCCCATATCCCATAAAACCCCATATCCCATATAACCCCATAGCCCATAATATTCCATATCCCATAATATCCCATATCCCATAATGCCCCATATCCCATAATACCCCATATCCCCCCATATCCCATAATATCCCATATCCCATATCACCCCATATCCCACAAAACCCCATATCCCATATCACCCCATATCCCATATCACCCCATATCACCCCATATCCCATATCCCCCCATATCCCATATCACCCCATATCCCATATCACCCCATATCCCATATCACCCCATATCCCATACCACCCCATATCCCATATCACCCCATATCCCACAAAACCCCATATCCCATATCACCCCATATCCCATAGCACCCCATATCACCCCATATCCCATACCACCCCATATCCCATATCACCCCATATCCCACAAAACCCCATATCCCATATCACCCCATATCCCATATCACCCCATATCCCATATCACCCCATACCCCATATCACCCCATATCCCATATCACCCCATATCCCATATCACCCCATATCCCATAAAACCCCATATCCCACAAAACCGCATATCCCATATCACCCCATATCCCACAAAACCCCACATCCCACAAAACCCCACATCCCATATCACCCCATATCACCCCATATCCCATACCACCCCATATCACCCCATACCCCATAGCACCCCACACCCCGTTACCGGTTGCGTGCAGCAGCTTGGGCAGGAAGCGGGTCCAGAAGGCGCAGGCCTGGGCCCGCAGGCCCTTGCCCTGGCTCAAGGGGGCGGTGTTGAGTCGAGCGTAGCCTTGGCCCCGCGCCGTGAACCGGGGCCACCGCGCGCCCGCCCCCGGCTCCTCCTCGCGCCCGTTCGGGTCCCTGTGGGGCACCGGGCGCCGGTGAGAGGGAGATGGGGGGTGGGATATGGGGGGGGGAGGGGGGAGGAAGGGAGAGTTGGCAGCGTCGGCAGCATCGGCAGCATCATTGACATCAGTATCGGCATCAGCATCGGCATCATCGGCATCCATCATCGTCATCAACATCGTCATCAACATCGTCATCATCATCCATCATCGTCATCATCATCGTCATCCATCATCATCCATCATCGTCATCATCATCGTCATCCATCGGCATCATTGACATCATCGTCATCGTCATCATCATCCATCATCATCATCATCATCATCGTCATCGTCATCATCATTGTCATCATCATCGTCATTGTCATCATCATCCATCATCGTCATCATCATCATCATCATCCATCATCATCATCAACATCTTCATCATCAGCATCGTCATCCATCATCGGCATCAGCATCAGCATCCGTCGGCATCATTGACATCATCGGCATCATCATCCATCATTGTCATCATTATCGTCATCTGTCATCATCATCGTCATTGTCATCATCATCCATCATCGTCATCATCATCATCATCAACATCCTCATCATCAGCATCATCATCCATCATCGGCATCAGCATCGGCATCCATCGGCATCATCACCATCATCATCGTCATCATCGTCATCCATCAACATCGTCATCATCGTCATCCATCATCATCATCAACATCGTCATCATCATCGTCAACCATCATCGTCATCATCATCGTCATCATCACCATCACCCATCATCATCGTCATCATCGTCATCATCATCCATCGTCGTCATCCATCATCGTCATCATCATCCATCGTCGTCATCCATCGGCATCATTGACATCATCGTCATTGTCATCATCATCCATCATCATCATCATCATCATCGTCATCCATCATCATTGACATCATCGTCATTGTCATCATCATCCATCATCGTCATCATCATCATCGTCATCATTGTCATCATCATCGTCATTGTCATCATCATCCATCATCGTCATCATCATCAGCATCAACATCCTCATCATCAGCATCATCATCCATCATCGGCATCAGCATCGTCATCCATTGGCATCATCGACATCATCGGCATCATCATCCATAATCGTCATCATCATCGTCATCCATCATCATCATCGTCATCCATCATCATCATCAACATCATCATCGTCATCATTATCGTCATCCATCATCGTCATTGTCATCATCATTGTCATCCATCATCATCAACATCATCATCATCATCCATCATCATAATCACCATCATCCTCCATCAGCATCATCAACATCATCATCGTCATCATTATCGTCATCCATCATCGTCATTGTCATCATCATCGTCATCCATCATCATCATCATCATCATCATCCATCATCGTCATCATCATCGTCATCCATCAGCATCATCAACATCACCATCATCATCGTCATCCATCATCATCATCGTCATCGTCATCATCATCCATCATCGTCATCGTCGTCATCTTCCATCCATCAGCCATTATCATCATCCATCATTATTGTCGTCCATCATTATCATCCATCATCATCCATCATCCATCATCATTATCATCATCATCCATCATCACAATCATTATCATCAATCATCATCATTGTCATCATCATCATCATCATCATCATCCATCTTTGTCATCATCACATCCATCTTCGTCGTCATCATCATCAACATCCACCGTCGTCATCACTGTCATCATCATCATCATCCATCATCATCAACGTCCACCATCGGCATCATCATTGTCATCATCCACCGTCGTCATCATCATCATCATCCATCATCATAATCATCAATCATCACAATTATCATCATCATACATCATTATCATTGTCATCATCATCATCATCCTTCTTCATCATCATCATCATTGTCATCATCATCATCATCAACATCCACAATCGTCATCATCCATCATCCATCATCACCATCCATCATCATCATCCTCCATCATCATCCATCATTATCATCCATCACCATCATCCATCATCATCACCATCCATCATCATCCATCATCACCATCCATCATCATCATCCATCATTAACATTCATCATCCATCATTATCATCATCCATCATCACCATCCATCATCATCCTCCATCCTCCATCATCATCCATCATCCATCATTATCATCCATCATCATCCATCGTTATCATCCATCATCATCATCATACATCATCATCACCATCCATCATCATCACCATCCATCATCATCATCATCCATCATCATCACCATCCATCATCATCATCCATCATCATCACCATCCATCATCATCATCATCATCCATCATCTATCCTCATCCATCCTCCATCACCATCCATCATCATCATCCATCATCACCCACCATCATCACCACCATCCATCCTCATCCACCACCATCATCCTCATCCATCCCCATCACCATCCATCATCATCATCCATCATCATCACCATCCATCATCATCACCATCCATCACCATCATCCATCATCATCACCATCCATCATCATCATCCATCATCATCACCATCCATCATCATCATCACCATCCATCATCATCCATCATCACCACCATCATCCTCATCCATCCCCATCACCATCCATCATCATCACCATCCATCATCATCATCCATCATCATCACCATCCATCATCATCATCACCATCCATCATCATCCATCATCACCATCCATCATCATCACCATCCATCATCATCACCATCCATCATCACCATCCATCATCACCATCCATCATCATCACCATCCATCATCACCATCCATCATCATCACCATCCATCATCATCACCATCCATCATCATCACCATCCATCATCATCACCATCCATCATCACCATCCATCATCATCACCATCCATCATCACCATCCATCATCATCACCATCCATCATCATCATCACCATCCATCATCATCCATCATCACCATCCATCATCATCATCCTCCATCATCACCCACCATCATCACCACCATCCATCCTCATCCACCACCATCATCCTCATCCATCCCCATCACCATCCATCATCATCATCCATCATCATCACCATCCATCATCATCACCATCCATCACCATCATCCATCATCATCACCATCCATCATCATCATCCATCATCACCCACCATCATCACCACCATCCATCCTCATCCACCACCATCATCCTCATCCATCCCCATCCATCATCACCCACCATCATCACCACCATCCATCCTCATCCACCTTCATCATCCTCATCCATCCTCATCCCCCACCCCCACCCCACACCCCCATTCCCCCCCTTCTCCAACCCTGTCCGTGCGAAGTTCCCCCAGTATCCCATCATCCTCCTGCTCAGCCTCTTCTCCTCCTCGGTGTAGTTCAGCTCCGGCCTCAGTGGCTGCCCGAACACGAACTCGATCTCGTAACCGTGGGGCACCCCCATCCATTGGGGCCACAGCAACGTGGACGCCCGGTGCTCGAACAGGTACGCGTAGACTCGACCCCGTCCTCCTTCGACCCAACGCGAAGCGAACTCCATCAAAGGACAAACCACGTTGTGGTCGCCTACGATGGCACCCAACGCCTCTCGGTTCTTCACCGGGTTATCCTGGTCCAACCAATCGGTGTACTGCAGCTCCACGGCCGCCGCCACCACCTCGTTGCCTTGGGGCACCCCCATGCGCACCCCTTGTAGGAACTCGTCGCGGCTGATCAAGCTCTCGTTGTCCTTGCCGAAGCCCGGCACTCCGTAGACCAAAAAGTAGGTGCCTTCGTCCTGCACGGCCCCCAAAAGGACGTCGATGCCGCCGTTGACTTGGCCGCTATGGGGCGAGCTATGGGGGACGGCACCATGGAGAGCGTCCCGGCGACCAGCGGCGTGGATTGAGTCACGGGGAGAGCGATGGGGAGAAGCATCGGCGCCTTGGGCAACGCCATGGGTCGAGTCTTGGGCACCGGCACCATGGACAGCAACCCGGCTACCAGCATCGGCACCGGGGACAGCGCCTTGGGGGCCGCTATGGGTCGAGCTTTGGGGGCCGCTATGGGTCGAGCCTTGGAGACCGCTATGGATCGAGCCTTGGGGGCCGCTATGGGTCGAGCCTTGGGCACCAGCACCATGGACAGCACCCCAGGCTGCCAGCATCGGCACCGGGGACAGCGCTTTTGGGGCCGCTATGGGTCGAGCTTTGGGGGCCGCTATGGGTCGAGCCTTGGGCACCAGCACCATGGACAGCACCCCAACCAGGAGCATCGGCACCATGGACAGCTCCTTGTGTCCCAGCCCCACGGGCAGCATCCGTGCTCCGCGCATCGACCCCGTGTCCAGCTCCTTGGCTCGACCCTTGTGTCCCAGCCCCATGGAGCCCCCCATCACCCCCCAGCAGCTCTTCGGGGCTCTCCCTCAACACCTCCCCATCGACCACGGGCACGAAGGCGAAGCGGAAGACGCTCCCTTGCGGCACCACGACCGCCTCGTTCTCCACCAACTCCGACGCCGGTCGCTCCCGAAGACACGCCACCACTTCCGTATCGTTACCAACGCATCCCAAAGCCGCCCCCAAAGCCAACGCGCGTCGACGAGCCTCGGCGGGCCCGATGGTAGCCCAAGGTCCGTTGGGAGAACCGCTTTGAAGGACGGCCCGACGGAAGAGCCCCGAGCTCCCCGCGGACAAGAGGTGGATGCCGACGGAAGCGGCGCCGGCGCTCTCGCCGAAGAGCGTGACGGCGCCGGGATCGCCGCCGAAGGCGCGGATGTTGCGTTGGATCCAACGCAAAGCCAAGCGTTGATCCAAGAGCCCCGCGTTGCCGGGAGCCTCCGGATGGCCGGGGAAGGCGAGGAAACCCAAGGCGCCGACGCGGTAATTCATGGACACAACCACGACGCCTTCGGCGGCGGCCAAGACGCGTCCGTCGTAGACGTCGAGCGAGGCGGCGCCGCTGTAGAACCCCCCCCCATAGATCCAAACGAGGACGGGGAGGGGGTGGGGTGGGCGGGGGGAGGGGGTCCAGACGTTGAGGTAGAGGCAATCTTCGCTCATGTCGCGGTTGGGGTTCCACATCTCGGCGCCGTCGAAACCCGGGAAGGTTTTGTCGACGGCTTGGACGCAAGCGTTGGGTTGGGAAGAGGCGTCCAACGGGAGGCTCCAAGGGCGGGCGGGGAGAGGGGGTCGGAAACGGAGGGAACCCAAGGGGGGATGGGCGTAAGGGATGCCCAAAAAGGCGGCGGCGAAGGTGGAGGGGGAGGCGGGGAGGAGGGAGCCAAGGATCGGGCCCTCGGCAGTGAGGACCAAGAGGTCGGAGGAGGGGGATGTGGGGCGGGGGAGGAGGAGGAGGAGGAAGAGGAGGAGGAAGGGGGGTGGGGTCGCCATGGTGAGGGCTGTGGGGGGAGAAAAGAGGGGGGGGGGGAGAGAGATCAGTGGGGCAGAACTGGGGGTGATTGTAAGGGGGATAGGGGGTTGGGGGTGATGTTGGGATGGGGTGACCCATGGATGTGGGGGGGGGGCCTAGAGAGAGGTGGGGGGCAATGGAGAGGGTGAGGTGTAGCCATGGGGGTGACCCATAGATCCATGGGTTTGCCCTATAGAGCCATGGGTTCGCCCTATAGAGCCAGGGGGTTGCCCTATAGAGCCATGGGTTCGCCCTATAGATCCATGGGTTTGCCCTATAGAGCCACGGGTTTGCCCTATAGAGCCATGGGTTTGCCCTATAGATCCATGGGTTTGCCCTATAGAGCCACGGGTTTGCCCTATAGAGCCATGGGTTTGCCCTATAGATCCATGGGTTTGCCCTATAGAGCCACAGGTTTGCCCTATAGAGCCATGGGTTCGCCCTATAGAGCCACGGGTTCGCCCTATAGAGCAAGGGGTTTGCCCTATAGAGCCATGGGTTTGCCCTATAGAGCCATGGGTTTGCCCTATAGAGCCATGGGTTTGCCCTATAGATCCATGGGGTCTCCCTATAGATCCATGGGTGTCAATGGAATGAGTGACCCATAACCACATGGGTGCCCCATAGACCCATGGGTTTGCCCTATAGAGCCATGGGTTTGCCCTATAGATCCATGGCTTCTCCCTATAGATCCATGGGTCTGTCCCATAGACACATGGGTGCCTATGGGTGTCTATGGGTCTCAATGCAACGGGGGCCCCATGGTCCTAAGGGTGCCATTGCTATGGGGTGCCCCATAGATCCATGGGTTCTCCCTATAGATGCATGGGTTCTCCCTATGGCCCTATCAATTCACCCCTATAGATCCATAGGTGCCATTGCTATGGGGCGCCCCATAGATCAATGGGTGCCATTGCAGTGCGTGCCCCATAGTCCTATGGGTGCTATTGCTGTGGGGTGCCCCATAGATCTATGGGTTTTCCCTATAGCCCCATGGGTTCACCCCATAGGTCCATGGGTGCCCACTGTAGATCCATGGGTGCCATTGCTATGGGGTGCCCCATAGATCCATGGGTCCCTTTGATGTGTGGGTCCAACCCCCTCAGTGCCCCCCCCCCACCTCCCCATGGCCATGGGGCAAGCCCTGGGATATGGCTGTGGGGCAGAGCTGTGGGGCAGAGCTATGGGGCAGTTCTATGGGGCAGAGCTGTGGGGCAGAGCTATGGGGCAGTTCTATGGGGCAGAGCTATGGGGCAGTGCTGTGAGTAAGTGCTAAGGGGCATCACTATGGATCAGTACTATGGGGCAGAGCTATGGGGCACAGCTATGGGGCAGTGCTATGGGGCAGGTCTACAGGGCAGCGCTATGGGGCAGCACTATAGGTCAGCCCTATGGGGCAGGTCTATGGGGCAGCGCTATGGGGCAGAGCTATGGGGCAGTTCTATGGGGCAGGTCTATAGGGCAGCGCTATGGGGCAGTTCTATGTGGCAGTGCTATAGGACAGCGCTATGGGGCAGGTCTATGGGGCAGAGCTATGGGGCAAAGCTATGGGACAGTTCTATGCAGCAGCTCTATGGGGCAGAGCTATAGGACATCGCTATGGGGCAGAGCTATGGGGCAGGTCTATAGGGCATGTCTATTGGGCAGTGCTATGGGGCAGGGCTATGGGGCAGGTCTATGGGGCAGCTCTATGGGGCAGAGCTATGGGGCAGGTCTATAGGGCAGGTCTATTGGGCAGTGCTATGGGGCAGCTCTATGGGGCAAGTCTATGGGGCAGCACTATGGGGCAGAGCTATGGGGCAGAGCTATGGGACAGTTCTATGCAGCAGTTCTATGGGGCAGATCTATAGGACAGCGCTATGGGGCAGAGCTATGGGGCAGGTCTATGGGGCAGTGCTATGGGGCAGCTCTATGGGGCAGGTCTATGGGGCAGAGCTATAGGACAGCGCTATGGGGAAGAGCTATGGGGCAGGTCTATAGGGCATGTCTATTGGGCAGTGCTATGGGGCAGGGCTATGAGGCAGCGCTATGGGGCAGGTCTATAGGGCAGGTCTATTGGGCAGTGCTATGGGGCAGCTTTATGTGGCAGCGCTATGGGGCAGCGCTATGGGGCAGGGCTATGGGGCAGAGCTATGGGGCAGATCTATAGGGCAGCGCTATGGGGCAGGTTTATAGGGCAGGTCTATGGGTCTCTGTAGGGTGGGGGCTGGGTCTCCCCCTTCCCCCCCCCCCCTCCCCCCAAGTGTCACTTGGGGGTCGCAGCAGGTGGCGGCTCCCAAAATAGCCCCAGGAATCCGGGAGCGGAAACAGCCGGAAACAGGGAATGTGTGGGGCAGGGATAGGGAATGTGTGGGGCAGGGCTAGGGAATGTGTGGGGCAGACACAGGGAATGTGTGGGGCAGGGATAGGGAATGTGTGGGGCAGGGATAGGGAATGTGTGGGGCAGGGATAGGGAATGTGTGGGGCAGACACAGGGAATGTGTGGGGCAGGGATAGGGAATGTGTGGGGCGGGGGGGGGATGTGTGGGGCAGAGGGGGGAATGTGTGGGGCAGAGGGGGGAATGTGTGGGGCAGGGGGGTGAATGTGTGGGGCAGGGGGTGAATGTGTGGGGCAGGGGGTGAATGTGTGGGGCAGGGGGGGAATGTGTGGGGCAGGGGGTGGATGTGTGGGGCAGGGGGGGGATGGGTGGCGCAGAGTGGGGAATGTGTGGGGCAGGGGGTGAATGTGTGGGGCAGGGGGTGAATGTGTGGGGCAGGGGGGGGAATGTGTGGGGCAGAGGGGTGAATGTGTGGGGCAGGGGGGGGATGTGTGGGGCAGGGGGGGGAATGTGTGGGGCAGGGGGGTGAATGTGTGGGGCAGGGGGGTGAATGTGTGGGGCAGAGGGGGGAATGTGTGGGGCAGAGGGGTGAATGTGTGGGGCAGGGGGGGGATGTGTGGGGCAGGGGGGTGAATGTGTGGGGCAGGGGGTGAATGTGTGGGGCAGGGGGGAATGTGTGGGGCAGACACAGGGAATGTGTGGGGCAGGGGGTAGTGTGAAATGTGTGGGGCAGACATGTGTGGGGCAGAGGGGGGTGAATGTGTGGGGCAGAGGGGGGAAGGGGTGAATGAATGTGTGGGGCAGGGGGTGAATGTGTGGGGCAGGGGGGTGAATGTGTGGGGCAGGGGGTGAATGTGTGGGGCAGGGGGGTGAATGTGTGGGGCAGGGGGTGAATGTGTGGGGCAGGGGGGTGAATGTGTGGGGCAGAGGGGTGAATGTGTGGGGCAGAGGGGTGAATGTGTGGGGCAGGGGGGTGAATGTGTGGGGCAGAGGGGTGAATGTGTGGGGCAGAGGGGTGAATGTGTGGGGCAGGGGGTGAATGTGTGGGGCAGAGGGTGAATGTGAATGTGTGGGGCAGGGGGTGAATGTGTGGGGCAGGGGGTGAATGTGTGGGGCAGGGGGTGAATGTGTGGGGCAGGGGGGTGAATGTGTGGGGCAGGGGGGGGAATGTGTGGGGCAGGGCTAGGGAATGTGTGGGGCCGGGTGTGAATGTGTGGGGCAGGGGGTGAATGTGTGGGGCAGGGGGTGAATGTGTGGGGCAGAGGGTGAATGTGTTGGGCAGAGGGGTGAATGTGTGGGGCAGAGGGGTGAATGTGTGGGGCAGGGGGTGAATGTGTGGGGCACGTGTGGGGCAGGGATAGGGAATGTGTGGGGCAGACACAGGGAACGTATGGGGCAGGGACACCGAACATGTGTGAGCTCAGCCCCATAGGGAGATGCTCTGCCCCATAGATCCTGCCCCATAGAAACACTCAGCTCCCCCCCCATCCCCTGTGCACCTATAGGGAGATGCTCTGCCCCATAGATCCTGCCCCATAGAAACACTCAGCTCCCCCCCCCCCATCCCCTATGCACCTATAGGGAGATGCTCTGCCCCATAGATCCTGCCCCATAGAAACACTCAGCTCCCCCTCCATCCTCTGTGCACCCATAGGGAGATCCTCTGCCCCATAGATCCTGCCCCATAGTGAGACCACACACCCCCCCCATCAGGTATAGATGCATACGGGGATGCCTGGCCCCACATAGCTCCGCCCTATATATTCCGACCCATAGAATCTGGCCCTATCCCATATACATCCATAGGGAGATGCTCATCCTCCATATACCCAGCCCCATAGATCCCTGCCCCATAGATCCCTGCCCCATATCGATTCCCTCTCCGTCCCCTATACACCCATAGGGAGATGCTCTGCCCCATAGATCCCAGCCCCATAGGGAGACAACCCCCCTCCCATCCCCTTTGTATACATAGGGAGATGCTCACCCTCTATATACCCAGCCCCATAGATCCCAGCCCCATAGATACTAGCCCCATCCCATACACATCCATAGGGAGATGCTCACCCTCTATATACCCAGCCCCATAGATCCCAGCCCCATAGATACTAGCCCCATCCCATACACATCCATAGGGAGATGCTCATCCTTTATACACCCAGCCCCATAGATCCCTGCCCCATAGATACTAGCCCCATCCCATACACATCCATAGGGAGATGCTCATCCTTTATACACCCAGACCCATAGATCCCTGCCCCATATTGACACCCCCTCATCCCCTATATATATATATAGGGAGAGACTCACCCCCTATTTACCCAGCCCCATAGATCCCTGCCCTATAGAGAGACACCCCCCAGGGAGACGCCTATCCCCTATAGAACCAGCCCCATAGATTCCACCCCATAGGGACACCCGGCCCCATCCCCTATACATACACAGGCAGATGCCCAGCCCCACACATCCCCACCCCATAGATCCCTGCCCCATAGGGATCCCCCGTCCCTATTCCCTATGTATACATACGGATACCCCCACCCGTTACACACCCAGCCCCATAGATC